AAACTGATTATGTGCCCTGTAAACTTTTACTCAATCCACAATAAAAACCTTAAATTAAAAAACAAAACAAAACAAAAAACTGATGGTCTGCTTTGTAAACCTCTCAATTCACAAGAAAAAGTTAAAAAACACAAAAGCTCTTTGGGAAATGCTGACAGGCTGACTTGTGGTTTGATTTCCCTACAAATCCACGTTGGATGGTCTGATGTGATCTCTCTTCTCCTGTATGTAGAAACCTTTCTCGAAGCACTGCTGAGGATTTTGTCCAGGGGACCCCCTTATAATTCTCTCCTGTCACCCACTGCTCCTTGTGCCCTCTTTTTGCTAAGACACAGACTCATGCGCCAAGTGCCCGCCTGCTGGGCTTGTAGCTCCTGGGGTCTGGGGGTCTCGTTGTTTCTCGTCCTCCACGTCCAGCTGCTGGGACTCTCTGTTGCTTTAAGGGCAGGACTCTGAAGTCAGAACTGTTAGAGTGCACATCTCCATCTTACCCTGTTGAGGATGAAAGAGCAAAAGCAGTAAGCCTTTGCTTAGTCATCTTACGCATGGAGAGTGATCCTTGCATGGTCCATAGGGGGCACTCAGCTGAGCCTACCCTGGAGGCTCTCCAGGGCTCATGTGGAGGGACCTGGGGTGGTTTTGGAGCATTGCTCCCCCAAAACAGAGGGTACCATTCTCACTTTGTGCCCCTCCTTGGAATTTCGCCCCTTAGCACCCAGTCTGCAGGAGTGGACAGGGAAGGATCGAGTGGCCCCATCTCGATGATGCTCTGAAGGCACCGAGTCCATTCCAACTCAGGAATACCGTACAGAGCAGAGAACTGCCTCAGAGGTTGTCAGGGTGTCAGAGGTTGTAAACGTTTATGGAAGCAGACTGCCACAACCTTCTCCCCTAGAGCGACTGATGGGTTTGGATTTCCAACCTTTAAGTTAACAGCCCGATGCTTAACCCACCGTGTCACTAGAGATCCTAGTGAGCAGTGAGCTGCCCCATTTCGGAGCTTGGCAGCCCCCCGTACCCACTGAAGAGAAGCCCAGTTCTGAGAAGCGGGTGAGAAAGCAGCAGCTGGAACCGGTTTTCCTCTTGGGATTTTTGTATCAAATCAGAGACTAATCCCTCATCTAATACCAATTTAGTCAGGGCTGGGCGTGGACGCAGGCAGCTCCGTTCATGAACACAGCTAATATTTCTTTATGGAAACTGATACTATTTTCAGAAGCATTGCAGACAAACGTCCTAAGAAGACTTAGCAGGCTCAAGCTGTTTACCTTGGATCCAGACCTTGTTCCTAATTAACTGAGTCTTTAGCAATCCGTCCCAGAATCCAGCCACCTGCCAAATCTCACACCTAAGGGGAAAAAATACTCCCAATAAAATTTTCCTAAAAAATAAAAAAATAACCCACTCAACTGTCACCAGGAAGATAGTCTCAGAACACTTCTATCAGCCACTCTTAACTAATGCACGAAAGCCAATGTTCTAGACCCCCAGCCTGTCTTTGTGGACCCAGAATTCACGGAGAGCATACTGTTAGAGGTTGAGGTCTGGGCACACACTCAAGGAAGGACTCAGGCAGCCCGACAGAGGGTGCTGGGCTGGGGGTCAGCAGCTCTGGTTCCTGGTCCCACAGTTCAGCGGTTTCATTTGTCTTGCAGAAACCACTGCGCACAGAGAGCAAGATTCTCCTTTCTCTGGATCAAAAAAGAAACCAGTTTTGTTGAGAGCCCTGGGCTTTCCTCTCAGTGCAGCATCAAGTGGGGTTCCGAGTTTATTCTCAGGTCCCGAGTGGGACCCAGTTTGTTTTTCAGACATTCACTTCCTGTGGTGGGCTGTGAGCCCCTCCCAGCCTTTTTTCTGTCATGTTTACTGTTCTCTCCCTGGGGAGCTGGGTACCCAGTAGGCTCTTGTAGAATATCGATTGAATTACAGAATGTTGGTTAACTAGGTGTGATAGCATGTTTTACCAAAATGTCCTAAATTTGAGCTAAGAAAATGGTAGGAATTTTAGATCATTTGTATTACCCTAATACACACACACACACAGACTCTCCCTTACACACACACACACAACGACACAGACACTTAGAGATACACACTCATACCCCAATGACACTCACCCCCCAACAACACACACACTCATGCTCTCAGTGACACACACTTTTTCACACCTCTGATGACACATTGAAACATGCACACTGAGACACACACCCCCTCCACCAAGACAGACATACATACTCTCTCTCTCTCTCTCTCACACACACACACACACACACACACACACACGTTGTCGATTGTCATGCCTTCACAGGTAATTAGAGGCAGGTCAGTTGGTAGAAATGTAACCTTTTTCTTTTGATTTACATTCTAGGTTGGCCCAGGAAAACCAAAGACCGGACCCAGGAGATTCATGTAAGTGAATTCCATTTTTCAGTCTGTTTTGTGTGGCATGGTGGAACGAGGCACATTGGTGAACATGAGGTTGTGCCAGAAAGAGCTGGGATTCCAGCTATACCACTTTCAAGCTGTGTGTTAGGGGCAGTCCCCTGTTCTCTGTGGGCCTCAGTGTTCTCATCTATGAAATTGTGGGGCTGAGTCTGATTGTTACAGGACTCTGTCAGCTCTGTCAGCCCTGGGTGGTTGGAGGAAGAACCTTGGGTTGGAGTTGGGGGCTTATAGACATGCCTTCCTGCTTCTGTGTGGCTGCTAATAACAAGTGCAGGACCTGGAGGTTTACGATGATGAACTGGTGGTTTTCTGCAAACCTCTTTCCTGCTAACATATTGGTTTTCTTTTTCTGGCTTGTTTTATATTTATATTTGATTTTTCCTTTCCAACTGGCTATCTGAAACTCAGTTGTTTTGTTGAGATCTGAGAGAGCAAGTATTTATTGATTTTAGTAAGTTATCTCTACCTCTGTTCAGAATAATAGCATAAGGGGTATTAATCCAGAATTAAAGGCAGCATTGAAAAAAAATCATAAAAGGGCAGAGGTAGGGAGATAGGGAGAAATTGTATTTTAAAATTTAGACTGATGGAAGCTGTATCAATTAAGGACGCAGTTCAGTGCTGAGCTTCCTAGCAGCCAAGGCAAAGAGTAGCATTGGGAAAGCATCATTCTTGATGTTAAATGTAGGGAAGGAGAAGTCCAAGAGGGGGCGATAGTCCAAAGTTGCTTTGCCAGTAATTAAGCCCTCAAAAGTTTCCCAAATTGTCTTGATCCCAGTCTGAAAGGGAGATTTTGTTGTAACTCTGGAATCATTTGTTAAAGTTCAAATCCAAGAAGCTAAAAGTTGTTAACCTTCATTTCTGAAATGGTCAAGAAACATTCAAGTTTGCTGGTGAAACTGTTGGTAACAATTTGCTCTGGTAATGAAGAACAGATAAAAATAGGTACAGTTTGCGGAGAGAGAGAAGAGGGTTTGCTGTCGGGGAGGGGAAACACTTGAATTAGAACCACAACTCCACCAACACGTTTTATGTCTTAGGGAGGTCCCGCAACTGGTCTGTGCCTTAGTTTCCCCATCTATAAAAAAAGAGGGCTGAACCAAAAATCCTGGCTTTATTCGTAAACTGTAATAAACATTACAAGGGAGCATTTAAACATTTTCACCTGTCTGTTATCATTGGATGTGTTTAGCTCTTTTGCATCAGAAATCACTTGACACGTTTGGACTCTGCCCCCCTTAAAAACAAACACTTGTCACCTGAGCATTTTCTAGATGTGCCATTGTTACATTGGTCATCACATCATTTTTCCCGCTTTCCTATCACCTTCCCCAGAAACTCATTGCCCCTACGCAATGAGTCCCTTTCTCCTCTCCCTTGGAAATCATTCATTAGCTGGTCTCTCTGTATCTGCGCATTATAGATGCTCCGTATAAATGGGACCGTACAGTGTTTGTCCATTTGCAATGGACTCATTTTGCTCAGTGTGATGTTTTCCGGGTTCATCCATGTGGTGGCATGCATCCGGCCTTCATCTTGCTCTCTGGCTGGGTCAGCCTCATTCTGTGTGCCTGGTCATGTGTTAGTGGACATGCTGTGACAAGCATTGGACTACGTGTGTCTGTTGGATCCTTGCTTTCATATAACCCGTGACCGTGGGGTCAACCCCTAACATGTGTATGTATGTCAGAGGAGAACTGTGCTCCACAGGACTTGGAGTGGCTGAATTTTCAGAAGAAGGTTGCCAGGTCTTTCTTGTGAGGTGCTTTTGGGTGGGCCTGAACCTCCAACTTTTTAATTAGTAGCCAAATACACGAACCGCCATCCAGGGCCAAATCAGCCATGGAGAGTTCTATGTAGCACAGTTCCCTTTTAATACAGCCTCTTGGAACAAGACGCTGTCCTTCTGTGGTCAGTTCCTCCTGGAAGCATCTCTCTGGCGGTCGGGTGGACACGTCTGGCTGCAGGTGGACGGGCCCGCCCACGGCGCGCTGATGGATTTCTCATACACAACTAGAGCGCTGGCAAAGCTGGAACGTCACCAGGATATGTTTCCATGAAATTGTCCCTGGGCAACCACATTGCCACTCTCGCTGGGGAAAAATGGTTTCATATATTGGCTTTTGTTTTTATGGAAAAATGGTGAAAAATTTGAGGGAAAACCACAGAATCCTTTGCTTTTATTGAAGCCACAAAAATTGATTAAAAATTTAAAAAAGAAAAAGAAAAAAGAACCCCACTTTTGCTGAGGGCTGAACTTTCTGTTTTGAAAGACTCTATTTTCTTTTTTGGAAATCTCTCCTGAGAGCCTAATGAAAGGCCTTTCTGTTTGCTGAGCTGCGCCGAGCCCAGGAGTCCTGAAGCTCGACACAGAAGTGGAATTTTAGTGCAAACACCGTCTGCTGGGCTTTTCTTCATCCCCGGATCTGCAGACACTGGCCAACTCTTGTCAGGTCCTTAGGTGGGCACGGTGCCTGAAAGTCAGGCAGCACCCATGGGTGTGGGATGGAGAGGGTGGCCCCCATGAAGGTCTCCAACCCCACTGCCCTCCCCAGCTCTCCCCGCCCCCGCCTGTGCACACGGAAACAGCCCGCTGGACGCTGCCTGGACCAGTGAGGCCAGTGTTGGGCCCCCACCTGAGGGCTGGCACGGGCCAGCTGTCTTCTCTGTGCCCATGACGGGCCCTCTGCCAGGCCAGCTGGGGCTCAGCTCCCTTCACACGCTGCCCCGTCTTGACCGTCCTCACCATCACTGCTGTGTGTGAGCTCGTTGTTGGCGCCACTGTGAGAATCCATCTCACGGAAGGTCTTCCTCTTTCTCGCTGACCCTCCACTTCACCAAGCACGGCGTCCTTCTCCTGTTTTCATAAGGCATGTGCTTGTTCTTAGTAAGGGAAGCTGGAGATTCTCTTGTGTCAGGTGGGAGGGAGTTGGTTTCCGGTCACCAGAACATATGTGGTCTTAGTGCTAGTTTGAAAGCACAGAAACCAGGTACTTCCTGGGGGGTCCCCCTGGGGAAGTCTAACCTGGCTCAGTACAACACAAGGTGAGTTAAAGGGTCAGGTATGCCTGTACCAGACCCCTACTTCCTGCAAAAGGTACCTTCTTTTCTGAGGCTGAATTGCTGGCAGACTCAGTACCTGTCTGGGCCTCAGTATCCCCACCTAACAAATGGGTGCCAGGATTGCACCCATCAAGTCGTGAGGGCTCAGTGGAGAGAGCTTTTCAAGTGATCAGAACACAGGGTGTTGTTTCTGGGTGCCATCGAGTTGGTTTTGTTTCACAGCAACCCTGTGTAGGGTTTCCAAGGCAGTCAACCTTTGCAGGAACAGCTGGTGGGCTAGAACCGCCGAACTTGTGTCTCACAGTCCAGTGCTTATTGCACAGAGCCACCATGTTCTCCACATAGGAAGTGCTGCATGTAATTTTTGTACCATTAGGAAATCAAATCCTCCTTTGCTGAGTCGATTCAGGCACATAGTGACCCTTCAGGACTGTGTGGTTGGTGATGGTTATGTGCCACCGTGTCGTTCTGACTCATAGTGACCCTATATAGGGTTTCCAAGGCTGTAAATCGCTACAGGAGCAGTAAGTCTCATTTTTCTCCCTTGGAGCAGCTGGTAGATTTGAACTGCTGACCTTGTATAATCCACGGCACTACCAGAGTAGAGCTGCCCAATAGGATCCCAAGGCTGCTCATCTTTGCAGGAGCAGATGGCTTTATCTTTCTCCTGACGAGTGGCTGGTGGGTTCCAACTTTTCAGTTAGCAGTCCAATGCTTACGCTACTGTGCCACAGGGAACCCATTTTAACTTGTTAGAAATGATTATTCCTCGTCCCCACAGAACCTAGGTCTTGTTTCATTTTATATATTTTATAAGTAAAAAGACTATAAGAGTACAAAATCCAAGACATTGTAAAAAAAAAACCAAACCTTCTCCCATAATCTCAAGGCAGCGGTTATATGTACTTCTTGCATTTTACCTTTATACGAGGCGACCTCATGATGTTTGTGGAAAATGGAATCAAAAGAGAATGGAATTTCCCTTTGAACTTGGACTGTGGGTTAGCACCACCATCTTCATGTTGGACTTCTCTGGACTCTGACTATGCGAGGAGGCCCTGGTATCTCTCCACTCGATCCACCAGCTCTGGGGGGCTGTAAATCTTTACGGGACCAGAACACTTCCTCTTTGTCCCAGGGAGCAACTGATAGATTTGAACCACTGACCTTGCAGTTAGCAGCCCAGCCTGTGATCCCCTATGCTAGTGTGTGATTTTTCCTGCAGGGCTTTATGTCTGAAGCATGTTCTGTCGGATTCTGTGGAAATGGAACAGACCACCTACCCAGCCTGCCGTCCCGACGTCTCTGCCAAGTGCAGCATGTCACCATGTGTCAGGCAGCCCCTCCACCCAAGGTGAATCCAGGCACAATGGAAGAGAATGCTGTCTGGTCCCGCGGCCCCTCATGATTGGTGTGGATCCGACAGCTGTGACCCAGAGGGTTCGCACAGGCTAATTTCCACATGGATAAGCCTCCAAAACATCTGTTGTTGTTAAGTGCCTTCAAGTCGGTTCCGACTCGTAATGACCCTGTCTGGGGTGTCCACGGCTTTCTTACTTTCCTTCTTTTTAAAATCTTTGCTGTGGAACAGAAAGTCTCATCTTGTTCCCATGTAGCGGCCACTGGGCTTGAACCATAGACTTTGTGTTTCGCAGTCCAGTGCTTACTATATGGAGAACATTATGCTAAGTGAAATAAATCATTTACAAAAGGATAAGAAGATCCCCATCCCTTTCTTCCTGGTCTACCTGAGTCTGGAAGCTCTGTTCAGCATCCTAGCAACACACAAGTCCCCACTAACAGATGGATAGTAGCTGCCCATGGGGAGCATTGGCCAGGAATCGAACCCAGGTCTCCCACATGGGGGTGAGAATGTTATCACTGAGCAGACACAGGCTCGTAACACAGAGAGTGTACAGGGCACTTCCCATCACTCAACCAGACCCATCAACCAGGGAAGATGCTTGCTCACTCTTCCTCAGCCCATCCACGTTCACACTGAGAAGGTCCAGGGAGACCAGCTCTCTCGTGATTACACCCCCTTTTCCCTTCCATTTGCCTTGTGATCCCTTAACTTACAGCCCACCCCTTGTGTGTGGGCAAAACACATGTGAACTGGCCAACGCGGCACTCCCGTTCACTGAGCTGAAATTTCATTAGCCTTTCAGTGTAATGTCAACCTGGCATATGCCAGCTCAGAGGCTCAGAGCAGAAGCCACTCCCCCACCTTGGTGCCTTATCTGATGATCTTTTCAGAAAACACTTCATTGTTCAGATTCAAGCATAACAAGTTTTACCGGAGCAGTCTCCCTTAGCACTTCCCTCGGCTTCATTCTCTCTGCCCCTTGTAGCGTGGAATAATTAGAGACATGTCTGCAAGCTATTTGCACATCTGATAATCTGATTTTCTCTTGTTCCCAATTCACCCACCACCTGCTCTCCTCCGGCCACTCTGCCACATCTGGGACAGCCCTGTCCCTTCATGCCCAGGTGACTCCTGAGCTACTTCTACTGCACGGCCCTCCCTTCCAGCCCTGGCTTCCGGGAATGCTCAGTCATCAAATCATCAGACCCTAAATGATGGTCTTCTCCCACCCATCTCTGTTGACACCTTAACTGCCTGCTGCCACCAGGATCTCAGCTCTCCTTCTCTGGCTTTATCACATGAAAATGCCATTTTCAGAAAGTCAGATAACAACTTTCCTGCTAATGTCAATGAACACATGCAAGAGATTTGCCTTAGCTCACTTGCGAGCTGTGAAGACATTAAAGGGGTCACCAGGTGGTGCAGAGGGTTAACACGCTTGGCTGTTAACCAAAAGGTTGGAGGTTCAAGGTCACCCAGAAAGGCCCGGCAGCTGACTTGAGAAGAATCAGCCACTAAAAACCTTGTGAAGTAAAATTCTATGCTGAGCCACAAAGGGTCACCTTGAGTCCGAATCACTTGGAAGATGTGTGAACCAGTTCAGAGGACATTCTATCTAGGCCATCGGGAAACTGGAAAATGCCCAATTCTTATCTAGGTGGTGGTGGTTGTCATCCAATGCCGTCAAGTTGGTTCCGACTCATAGCAACCTTGTATATGGTTTCCAAGGAGTGACCTTGTGGCTACCTGTCCAGTTCTTATCCTACAGCGCCACACCAGGACACTCGTTCCTGTCTATGTTGTTATGTAACACTGAGTCGGTTCTGATTCATAGCTACCTTGTATAGTGTTTCTGACAGCAACTGGTGGGTTTGAACTGCTAACCCTTGTGATCACCAGTCCACTGCACATCCTACAGGGCCATCCCAGGGCTGTTGATATCTGTGTTGTTATTGTAAAGTGCTGTCCAGTCGGTTCTGACTCATAGTGACCCTATATAGGGTTTCCAGGGAGCGGCTGGTGGGTTTGAACTGGTGACCTTGTGATTCAAACTGACCGCTTATCCTGTAGTGCCCACACCTATAGGGATCAAAAATGAGATGTTTGGAATCTGCTTTTCTGCAGGAAGTGACTTGTCTCCCTGGCGGACAGCTGTGTTAGTGTGTCTGAGGTGGGGAGTTGAAGAACACACAGTGATGGTCGAATTAAGAGGAGGAAGGTGTGGAAGTGGGGGGCCCTGGCTGTTCTGTCTTCTGACAGCATTTCAGAGCGTTGCACCTTTGTACCTGCCTGTCCGTTTTTATGAGCTCATTGTCTTCTGCACAGCCAAATGGAGAGATGGCAACTTCCCACCTTGCTTTGGGAGAGACTTCGGAGCACCAAGTCAGGGGACCCACCCTCTGCCACCAAGCGGATCTGGACTTACAGTGACTCTGAGGGAGAGAGTAGAATTGCTCCTTGGGGTTTCTGAGGCTATACACCTTTACAGGAGCAGAAAGGGTCATCTTTCTCCTGGGGAGCGGCTGGTGGGCTTGAACTACCAACCTTGTAGTTAGCAGCTCAACGTTTAACCCAGGACACTCTGAGGGAGATGTGAAATCACTAGAGCAAGGCCAAGCCTCTGACAAAGACCGGTCAGTCCAGGAGGATTCTGGGAAGAGAAATCCTTGACTCCCAGCTGCTAAGTGTAGCAGCTTCCAAGGGCATCTGTGCTGCTCCCCACCCTGGCCTGATACTGCTGCTTCCTGTTACAGCATGCCAACGAGTCGGTTCCAGCTCTGGTGGACTCTCACCGCCAGCCTTGTGGTTAGCAGCCAAGGCATTATGCTAGAGTACCACCGGCACTCCTTGATACATGCTTAGAGCCTGAGAAACAGTCAGTATAGCAAAATAATTCATGTCCAAGAGTAGCGTTTCGAACCTCTCCCTGTGCCCCAGACCCTTAGCTTGGATTTAAGAAAAAGGGAAAGGGGTTCATGGTCATTAATTCCTGACTTGAGGTGGGTTTGGAAGTTATGACACTTTTTCCATTATCAGCTCTAGATATTGTCCCCAAATGCAAAGTCACATTTATATTTGCACCTGTATTTATCTATAGGTGTTGTTGTTGTTAGGTGCCATTGAGTCGGTACTGACCCATAGTGACCTTATGCACAGCAGAACGAAACACTGCTTGATCCTGGGCCAACCTCACTGTCATCACACTTGAGCCACTGTGCCAATCCATCTTGCTGGGGGTCTTCCTCTTTTTCTCTGACCCTCCACCTTACCAAACATGATATCTTTCTGTAGAGACTGGTCCCTCCTGACAATATGTCTGAAGTATGAGAGATGACGTTTGGCCATCTTGGCCTCCAAGGAGCACTCTGGCTGCACTTCTTCCTACACAGATCTGTTGGTTCTTTAGGCAACCCATGGCACTTTCAATATTCTCTTCCAACACCATAACTCAAAAGCATCAATTCTTCTACAGTCTTCCTTATTGACTGTCCAGCTTTCGCATGCATATGAGGTTATTGAAAATACTCTGGCTTGGGTCAGGCGCACCTTAGTCTTCAAGCTGACATCTTTGCTCTTCAACACTTTAAAAAGGCCTTGTGCAGCAGATTTGCCTAATACAGTACATCATTTGATTTCTTGACTGCTGCTTCCTTGAGTGTTGATAGTTGATCCAAGAAGAATGAAGTTCTTGGCAACTTCAATCTTTTCTCTTTTGAAAAGAATGTTGTGTATTGGTCCAGTGGTGAGGATTTTTGTTTTTTTTACATTGAGATGTAATCCATACCGAAGGCTGTGCTCTTTGATTTTCATCAGTAAATATTTTAAGTCTTCTTAGTAGAAGACTTCAGTTTGCGTAGATCCACAATTAACATTCCTGGAAGCAGCAGTCAAGAAATAAAATCACATACTGCATTAGGCAAATCTGCTGTACAAGAGGTCTTTAAAGTGTTGAAGAGCAAAGGCGTCATTTTGAGACTAAGGTGCACTTGACCCTAACCATAGTATTTTCAGTCACCTAACACGCATGTGAGAATTGGACAGTGAATAAGGTAGATTGTAGAAGAATAGACACATTTGAATTGTGGTGTTGGAGAAGAACATTGTAAGTACGATGGACTGCTAGAGACACAACAAATCTGTGTTGGAAGAATTAACAGCCAGAATGTTCCTTAGAACCGTGCATGGTGAGCCTTTATCTCTTGTTCTTTGGACATGCTGTCAGGAGAGACCAGTCCCTGGAGAAGGACCTCATGCTTGGTACAGCAGAAGGTCAGTGAAGAAGAGGAAGGCCAGTGAGGTGGGCTGACACGGTGCCTACAACATTGGGTTCACACCCAGCAACAGTTGTGAGGAGGATGCAGGACGGGGCAGTGCTTCCCTTGGTTGTGCACGGGATTCCTACGAGTTAGAAGCAATACTCCGGTACCTAGTGAGTCCTGGAGTGGCGCTGTGGGCTAATGCGCCAGACTGCAAAGCCGTTTGAATGGCAAGGTCAGCAGTTCCAGCTCAGCAACTCACCTTGGAAACCCTATACAGGGTCACTATGGGTCAGCACTTCACAACAACAACAAAAATGTCATTTTACCCAGGCTACTTTTACACAATGTATCTCAGGGATTGTTACTGTAGGAAAAAAGTTTTCCTGGAGTCAGAGGAGAACTGTGTTCCACAGGGTTTTCAATGGCTGATTTTCCAGAAGATCACCAGGTCTTTGTTCTGGGGCACCTGTATATGGGTTTAACCATTTGCACTCCATTTTTATGTGTATATATATGCGTTATATATGTAAATCCACATAGCATTTCTGAGGAGCATTTGATGGGTACATGGAGTCCTGGCATGGTGCTGTAGGATAAGCACTGGACGGCTAACTGAAGGTCAGTGGTTCGAACCCATCAGCCACTCTTCGGAAACCCTATAGAGATTCTCCATGAATGGGAACTAACTTGATGGCACTTAACAATAACATACACACACACACACACATA